GCGCCTGCGCGCGGGGGGCGGGCGGGACCGGGCAGAGGGGTGCGAGGCGCGGGGCGCGGGGCGCGGGGCCGGTCCTGGGCTGGGGCACCCGGGGCGTTGAGCCCAGTCCTCTGGCTGAAGTGATCACGTTTAGGGGAAAAGCGAAGTTTCTGGATCGCAGCCTCTGCCCTCGACAGACTAATGAGGGTTACGCGCGAATCTGGAGAGTGGTTCCGTGATCTGTTTTCCGGCAGCACTTACCCACTCCAAGCCCAGAACCGTGGCCAAACAAAACTCCTTCCTGTGAAAACCAAGTTATCAGACTGAGTTTTAAGTATGCAAGTCGAGGATGAGATTATTAACTTAAGAATTATGTTTTAAGAAGATTCTTTGGGGACTTGGAGAAGCCCCCATTATGATTTTAACTGGAAAACTCAGGTTGCAAAGCCACATAGGAAGTCTGATCTCAAATGTAGATATAATGGCATAAAGGCATTCTAAAAATGGAGAGACCCAAGAAAATATTTACAGTAGCTATGGCGATAGAATGGATTTTTGTCCCTTTTGTAATTTTCTGATTTCTCAGATACTCCACAACGAGCAAGAAAGTACTTTGTAACCTAGGGAAAAGTCATTTTAAAACTCATTGCTTTTTAACTTAGGAATCAAAGGAACTTTTATATTTTACAGTAACATCTCTAAGATTAAGGTTAAAATTAATAGTATTCCTTTGGCTTTTTCTTTTTTTAAAGGAATTGACTTTCAAGTCAGGCTTTCCTTGGATAAGCGATGAATTCCTATATCTAAAATGACAATGGAACCCTTTATGATAAAAGGAGGGGCCGCTGCTTTTCATCAGGGATGGCGCGAATAACTTTTTATGATCCAGTCCAGTAAGGCCTTAATGGCTTTCTCCCCACCCGCACCCAATAAGGAGCGGCCGTTGCAGCAGGTGAAGGGTAACTCAGAGCCACAGTCCACTGGGTGACTGTATATATTTATCTGTGCTCATCGCTGTGATTATTTTTTTGTCTCTCTGCTTCAGAGGTCAGCACCACCAGAGCACTTGAGTCAGGCTGTTTCTATTTTTTTTCATTACCCAGATCTAGTACAGTGCCTTGAATATAGTGGTAACTATTCCTAAGTATTTGTTTGTTGAATGACTTAATGTATCTAACCACTATTTATAACCCCCCAAAGCAAAGAAATGAGTGTTATCACTCTAGAAATTCCTCTTTTATGCCTTCCAATTATTCACTTTTTTCTCCCCAAGTTACCTGCAACTTTGACTTTTTCACTAATGGTTTGGTTTTGTTTCAACTTTGCATGAATGGAATCTTACTATATTTTTTTGCTTAAATGTTTATTTGTAAAATTTTATCTGTGTTTTGCATGCATTATTTTGGTGCATAGCACAGGATGGGGCAAATTCATTTTTCCCCGTAAGGATATCCGCTTGTCCCAGCACAATTTATTAAAAAGTCTCTTCTTCATTCACTACTCTGAAATACTAATCCTGCCACAGACCAGTCATGCATACATGGATAGCGTAGGTCTGTTGTGGGCCCTTTCTTGTGCCTCATTGGCTTGTCTATTTTTGTCCTAATACCACAGTCTTAATTTAGACTAGCTTTATAATAAATCTCCATGTTCATTAGTACATGTTCCCTTATCTTAGACCAGTAATTTCTTGGCTGTCCTTGACCTTGTTCATGTCCGTATGAACTTGGGAATCAGCTTGTCAGTTTCCACATAACGGATTTTTTTATTGGGATAGCATTGCCTCTATGGATCATTTTGGAAGGAGTTGGAAGATTTATAATATTGAATCTTTCAGTTCCTGGACATAATATATTTAGATCTTCTTTAATTTCTGTCAATAAGATCTTATAACCCAGAAGTATTATGCATATTTTATTAGATTGATTTCCAAATGTTTGGTTTTGTATGCCATTGTCAATTATACTTTTTAAAACATTTATTTTCCTGTTTATTATTTTGAAATAAAATAAATTTTATATATTAACTTGTATACCAAACGTGTTAAACTTACTCATTCGAATAATTTATCTATGAATTATGTAAAATTTTCTCCATAGACAATTATACCATCCATGAACAATGACAATTTTATTTCTTCCTAATCTTTACACCTTTTATTTCTTTTTCTTAACTTATTGCACTGGCTAGGACTTAAAATACAAAAGGAAGTGGCAACAGTGGGAGTCCTTGTTTTGTGGGTTTAATTGCCCCCCCAAAAGATATATCAATGTCACAACCCATCTCTGTGAATGTGACCTTATTTAGAAATAATCTTTATAGCTGTAAACATATTAAGATGAAGTCATGCTATATCTCTCACCATGCACTAAACTAAAATCAAAATGGATTAAAGATCTAAATATTAAAACAGAAATGCTGAACCAGCTGGAACAGAGGTTAGGTAGAACTCTTGAAGACAATGGTGTAGGAAAAGACTTTATGAATAAAACCACAGTTGTCCCTGAGTTAGCACAATCAACAAGTGGGATCTGTTCTTATTAAAAAGCTTCTCGGGATGGGGATTTAGCTCAGTGGTTCCGTTGCCTGCCTTGCAAGTGCAAGGTCCTGAGTTCAATCCCCGGTACCAAAAAAAAAAAAAAAAAAAAAGCTTCTGCACAGCAAGAGAAACCACCAAAAGAGTGACCAGACAACCCACAATGTGGGAAAAAATTTTCACCTGCTGTTCCTCAGACAAAGGTCTACTATCTCGAATCTATAAAGAACTTTAAAAAGTCAGACCTCCCAAATTTAGAGATCCATTCTAAAAATGGACATCTGAAATGAACAGACATTTCTCAGACAAAGAAGTAGGAATAGCAAAGAAACATATGAAAAAATGTTCAGCATCACTGGTCATTGGAGAGATGCAAATGAAAACAACGCTGCGATTCCACTTCACCCCAGAAAGAATGGCTGCTCTCATGAAATCAACCAATAACAAATGCTGGCGGGGTTGTGGGGAAAGAGGAACCTTGCTCCACTGCTGGTGGGAGTGTAGGCTGGTTGCAACCACTGTGGAAATCAGTATGGAGATACCTCAAAGAGCTAGGACTGGAAGTCCCATTTGACCCAGCTATTCCCCATCCTGAGTATCTTCCCCAATGAATTAAAAGAATCATACCACATTGTTATATGTGCACCCATGTTCATAGCAGCACAATTCGTGATAGTGAAAACTTGGAAGCAACCCGGTTGCCCATCAACTGGAGACTGGATAAAGAAAATGTGGTTTTTTAATAAAATGGAGTACTACTCAGCCATAAAAAATGAGAAATTAGAAACATTTATAGCTAAATGGATGCATATTGAGGCGATAGTCTTAAGTGAAATAAATAGGACATCTTAACATGTAAATACTGAATAGTTTGTCTAGTGTGAGAAATTGAAAGTGTAAATAAGGACTAAAAGGTATAATAGATAATGTGAAATAGGAAGAAAAGGGGCGAAGGGGAAGGGGAAGTGGGAAGGGTAGGGGAAAGGAAATAAGGGAATGGAATTAATAAGAGAAAATGAAAAAATGGAAACAAAGTCTTTGTAAATAGGGAGGGATGGAAGGGTTGAAGGGAGGGCAGGGGAAGGAGGAAATAATAAGAACCAAGAGAGATTATGTAAAGGTGCAGATTTCCAATGATGAATGTCATTATATACCTAAAATGTACCAATAAAATTAATTTTTTAAAAAAGATGAAGTCATACTGGAGTAGAGTGTACCTCCTCTTATAGATTGGTGTTCTCTTAAAGAGAGATGAGACAGCATGGGAAAAAAGGGGCAGGATGTACCATGTACAGGTGCAAATTCTCTATAATGAATGTCATCATCATGTATGCCTAAAACGTACCAGTAAATGTTGTGTTTTTAAAAAAAAGAGGTGAGACAAAGACACACAAAGAACACCATACGGAGATAGAGGTATAGACTGGAGTGATGAGTCTACAGGCCAAGGGATATCAAAGATTGCTGGCAACCACTAGAAGAGAGAAAAAGGCAAGGAAGGATCCTGTCCTAGAACTCTCAGAACAACCCGTGATGTGGTACCACTAACCTCTGGGACTGTGACCATTTCTGTTGTCTTAAGTGACCCAATTTGGAGTACTTTGTTACAGCAGTGGTAACAAACTCATATGCCTTGACTTTGTTCCAAATCTGGAGAGGTTTATCAGTGTTTCTATTGACATAATCATGTGATTTCCTTTGATTTCTCTTTATTCTATTAGTGTGATAAATTGCATTAATTAAAATTAAGTATTTTCATTGTTACAGTTAAAAATATTTTCTAATTTACATTTTTTGACTTGTGCTACGTAGATAGATAGTGCCTTACCTTTAAAACATGACTTTTAAATCATCATTTTGTTAATGATTTCTAGTTTATTCATATTGGGATCAGAGAACATATTCTATTTTTTCATTCTTTTATGCTTGCTTTGTCACACAGGATCTGAATGATTCTTCTTGATTTTGCCCTTGTTGGGTTCAGTATTCCGTGTACAAATTCAGTAGATCCAGGCTGTCAGCTCTGCATTCATTTCTCTACCCCACTGATTTTTAATCTACATGTTATAGCAGTTACTAATAGATAGATTTTTGTTTTTAGAAACTCATGTTTTATTTTCCATCAAATCTCATTCCCATTTTGCTAAAGTGTCTGCAGAACAAACTGTTCAAGAACACTCAGTGGTGGTTCCTACCTGCTCAGTGGCCTGAGCAGTGGGGGCTGCAGATCCGTCTTCTGTAGGGAACTGCTGACTGGGCACAGAGGGCACCTGCACACCCTCTGACCAGTCTGCAACCTCAGGCTGAGTAGCAGTGAACTCTGGAGCTGGTGCAGTCCATTTGCCCCGAAATTCCTCCTTGGCCACAGCCTTTTCAGCAGCAGCCTGCTCTTCCTTTTCAATCTTCAGGGTCCCTGTAGAAGTAGAAGATGACCTCCCACGGGTGTTCATGGGAGATGGTGCCACGCATGCCCAGCACTTCCTGGGACACCATCCACCAAAGCAGACCCACTGAGTGAGCTTCCTTGTTGCGCGGGATGGCAATGTCCACACAGCACCAAGGAGAATCTGTGTTACACAGAGCAATGGTCGGCAGATTGACTTAAGACGCCTCCGTGAGGGGCTGGTGGTCAGCCCTGGGATCTGTAACCACCAGAAGACGCGGCTCTCGGAAGGCTGCCTGAATCTGGTTAGTGAAGGTCCCAGGAATGAAACAGCCAGCGATAGGAGTAGCTCCAGTGGCAGCGGCAAACTTCGGCACAGCCCGCTGGCCGGTGTTGCTAGAGGATATGACGCTGGCATCAGCAGAGTTTTCAAAGGCGACCATGGCTCGTGCTGCCAGCAGAAGCTTCTCCCAGGTCCGCTTTCAGATTTATGATGTAGATTTCATCACTTTTCCTTTTGTAGATGTACTGTTCCATCTGGAAATCCAGGTCAGTGCCACCTAAGTGGGTTCTTGCGGCAAGAAATTTGAGGACACCCTCCTCCTTCATTTGCAGAACGTTGAGGGCTCCGGACATTGTGAAAGTTTCCCTTTAAGTTACAATGGGAATCAAGAACAACGCTGTGTGGACCCCTTGCTGGGCAGCTCGGAAAGGCGAGATGGATATTTAACTATATCTCATCGTCACTGTAGACTACTTATCTTTGTGGATCTGTACATTTTGCTATACATATTGTGAGACAACTTGAGTGCAAACAAATCTAGAATTATCTTTTAATGAATTACATTTTTGTCATTGTGAGGTGTCACTCTTTATTTCTAGTAATGCTTTTTTCTTAACCTTAAAGTTTGATATTAATATAACTCAGCATCTTTCCGTTACTGAATAGATGGTTTAACTTTTTAAAAATTCTACATTTCCTCTTTCACTTTCTGTTTTAATACGTCTCTTATAAATAGTATAAATTAATTTTATATGGTTTTGTGGGTTTTTTGTTTTGTTCTTTAAATTTAAATTTTTATTAGTATATGTTTGCAATACATTACAATTACATTCATCTTGGGGAATTGGTACATATACTATCACATCTTAAAGGCTTTTTTGTTTTATTTTGTTTTATAGTGCCAGGAATTAAATCTAGGGCTTCACACATGCTAGGCAAGCACTTTACCACTGAGCCACGACTCCAGCCCCATAAACTGATTTTTAAATGAAGCTTGATAATCTTTATCTTTAAAAAATATATGGCCTATTTACATTTTTTTTTGTACCTGGGCTCGAACTTGGGACCTTGTGCTTGTGCAGCAGGCACCAGAACCACTGAGCTAAATCCCCGGCCCTTAGCCTATTTACATTTAACATACTCACATGTTTGGATTTACATCCAACATCTTAACATTTTTCTTCCATTAAATCCTGTTTTATGTTCCCCTTTCAGTCTTTTCTCATTTTATTCTGATTTGATGGAACAGATTTTATTTATTTATTTTTTTGGTACCAGGGATCGAACTCAGGTCCTTGCGCTTGTGGAGCAGGAGGCGAAACCACTGAGCTAAATCCCCGGCCCTGATGGAACAGATTTTAATACTTTGTATGCTGTTTCTACCAGATTCATAGTTATAAACTGTTTTATTATTCTTTCATTAATTATGCTAGAGATTACAGCCTGTATTCTTGATTCTTCAAAGCCTAATTTTACCTGTTACTTTTGTCTCTGGGTAATACAAGAACTTCAGGACATGTTACCTCCATTTGCCCTCAATGAAATTTTGTACAATTATTGTCATGGATTTTATTTTATCACCATAACACATAATCATGATTATCCCATAAAGTCATATACATTTAGATTTATCCACATGTTTACATTATCGTTGCTTTTCATTACTTCCTGTATTTCTGACCTTGCACATGTGATCATTTTCCTTCTGCCTAAAAAATTCCTTTTGGCATTTCCTTAAGTGCTATTCTGCTGGTGAGAAATTACTTTTGTTTGTCAGAAAAATGCCTTTACTTGACCCTCATTCCTATAGGATACTTTTGCCTGCTATAAAATTACTTTGTTTCAACTTCTCACTTCCATTATTTTTGTTAAGAAATATGGTATTAGTCTAATTGTTGCTCCTTGAAGAAGGTGCTGGGGATGGAACCCAGGGCCTTGCACACACTAGGAAAGGGTTGCCAGGCAAGTGCTCTACCACTAAGTCACACCCCTGCCCAGTCCATCTTTTTTATCTGAATGATTTCTAATATTTTTGCCCCTGTATTTTTTAAGGCAGTTGAATTAGAATTTGCCTAACTATAGATTTCTTTTATTTATTCTGCTTGAGATCTGTAGGCTTCTTTTTTCTGTGACTTAATGTCTTTTGCCAGTTTTGGAAAGTTCTGTCATTAACTCTTCCTAAGTCAGTCATAATCGATCTCGCTACCCTAATAAAATGTCTTTTATTTTTGTGTATTCCTGGATAGTCTCTTTTACACACAACAAGCATTTAAAGTGGTATAGTATAAAATTATATAATTAAAATTATAGCTAAAATGTAAAACTAAATATGAAACAAGACCCATGTTGTATATTTATGAATTATAAAAAGATTAATCTGTTGCCAGTCATCTTTTGTGATATCACACAATGACAGTATATTTTCATAGCTTATTTCTTGTTATATTTTCGATTTATCACAAAAAAGACTGCTGGTATTTCATTTATTAATCATTTTTGAGTACCAAAAAGTAGTTTCATGAAAGCTAGTGTTTTTTTCACCCTAGCAATCAGAAACAAGTTTTAGATTTCTGCTACTTATAAAATAAATGGGGCTCTCAAAACTATTTCAGTGTCTTTTAAAGGCTTTTTTTTGTCCATTGCATTAACTTTTTCTCATATTTATGTAAACAACATCTTAGTTAACTCAAATATTACCTTAGTTATCAAAAATGTTAAACAGGCACAAGTATATTTGTTCACTTAAATTTACTTTTAGCATATAAATGCTTAAGGCCTTTAAAAAATCACTAACTATGTGGGCCGGGGATTTAGCTTGGTGGTTTCGCCGCCTGCTGCGCAAGCGCAAGGACCTGAGTTTCCCTGGTACCAAGAAAGAAAAAAAATCATTAGCTATGTGGTGAATTTTGCCGGGAAATTTCTTTCAGGTTTTAAGATGAGGGAAGCACGCAGTCACCTAAGGTCATCAGGAGGCAATAGGCTCTACTGGCCAGGACCTGTGCAATATTTTGGGGCCTTCCATATTGTCCTTGACTTTACCTTGTGCTTTATCATAGCACAATTTTTCTAGAATTTTTTTTACTTACCCAAATGTTTTTCCCTCAATGAGCTGCCCTGTCAATCTTTCAGCAACAAGATCTTCAGGAGATTGAAAACTAATCTTGCTTTTATTTGCCAACCTGAACAAAACTGGCCAACACTCTCCACGACAGTGATATGCCAGGAGTGTTCCCTTCCTGAGCTCCTGCAGCACCCAGCCAGGAAGGAAGCAGCAACCTTGACCCTGAGAATGAAGATGCCCACAGGGAGAGTCAAAGGTAGGCTGTGTATGTGAAAGGGGTTCAACACCAGGTGAAGGAATGTTGTGACATTCTATGTGCATGACCCAAAGAGCATAAGATGAGAGACTTAATCCACAGAGAAAGACTGTAAAAGAGAAACCTAACCTTCAAGAGCACCTCTTGCATACCAGGAACCTTGCAAACAGTAAGCCCTGTAACTCCATAACCTGTGAAAATGAGGAATTGAAGCTGGTCAGAAACGTTCATATGTTTGCTTCCATGAAGTTCACGTGTGATGGAGATTTCACAAATACGTAGCTTTAAAGAAAGTGGTCAACATGGTTCATTTAGGGAGCATGGAAGCACAGTCAGACTCAAATATGACAATTGGGAAGTGACAAAAACTGGAGAACAGGAAAATACAGTTCTTACAACCTAAAATGAAGTAGGAAGTTGATTAAACATTGATTTTATTCCAAAAATTAAGGTAAATTCATTTATGCAAGGGAACTGAAATCCAGTGCTATGAAGCTGCTGGTTCCTACTTCATGCTGCATGGATCTAAGTGCTGGATGTGTCTTCCTGGACAGTTCAGGCAACCCTGTTTTTAATTCTTTTGGAGACAATCTGTTATTAAATTGATCTGTGTATTTATGTCCTGTCCTATTCAGTGTTATTTACTATTCACCAAGGCTGCCAACTTTTAAACAGTCTTGGTATAAATGTTTGTTCCTAAACCTTTGCTGATAGAGATGTGTTGTATGTAACAGTTACAGAGTCCATTAACATGAAGCACTAAAACACAAAGAGAGACTGAAAAGATTTATAAACATGTGAAATGTCCTCACCAGAGACGGTTGAAATAATAAATCCATAGTCAAAGGAACATTTGCAAAGTTACTGTAAGCAGATTTATCTACTTCACAACCTGTTTTCTGGGACTGAGTCATACTATATATTAGGTTTAAAAGGTAAAATACAAATCAACTTTTATTGGTAATGACTTCTCATTGTGTTAGAGAAAATCCTATTGTTGTAGAAGAGAGAAATTATACCTCAAACATTTCCATGCCATTCTCATACTTGTGAAGAGAAATCGCCAGAATGACATTTTTTTAAAATTTGGAAACTTAGCTCAAATTATTAGCATTTTTATGTGACATGAAAATACTTCTAGCACTTTTATTTTACAAAAATACCCAATTCTGAGCCCAGTTACTGATAGCAACAGTAGTCTAGAGGGCAATTTTTTCTGGACTGCAACTTCAGATATAATTAGTACTCTCAGGAACAAACACCCTACTCTCCCCAAGGGAAAAAGTTGGCAAAGCGAAATGGTGGCATCTATCTCCTCGTTAAAACATCAGATTGACAAAGTCCATGTGCTCCTCTGTTTCAAAAAGTTCCAGCTCTTTTAAACATTGACATTCTTATCATTTTGTGTGCTTGGTGCTGGCCACTGGCTAACAGTGTCTGTGTGGATTTCTCTTTGAGTATCTTTCCCCATCAACTGATAAGCGAGTCCCTCCTTGAGTTTCTGGAGGAGGGCGCTGCTTCAGAGAGAAAGCTGAGAGTACGTATTTGAAATCATTGCAGATGTTCCTTCTTCTCTTGATTTTTCTGTTTTGGATTGTTGTTTGCTTGTTTTGTTTTGCTTTTCTGTTTGAAGGTAAGTCTATTCAGGAGCTTCACACTGAGATGGCCCGGGCATTAGGATGGTAGTGTAATCTGCTTTCCTTGGAGAGAAAAGACACTGGTATTACAAATGTATTCACTATTATGACTGTATCCACTATCACAGGGCTAATTCATGGCCATAAAGATAGAATCAAATATAAAGTAAACTGCAAGCCACTATTTTCACATCAATTTGTATAAATTAGCTAATAATATTTTATGAGTGGAAAATAAAAATCTCAGTTGTTTCAAAGCATCTTATTATAGGTATGAACTGTTATAATAAATATTTTTGAGTGAATTTATTTTCCTGTATTTTTTAAAAAATAAAAATTATAATACAGGAAAACAAAAGAAAAAATAGTCTATGTCCTGATATCTCAAAGTGAATTCTGTTAGTGTTTTGAATTTTTCCTTCCTGTTTTTTAGTTATGCTGCTCATGCAACTTTGTATTTTATTTTCCCACTGAATTCAGTTAATAAAATGTTCTGGGAGGTGAAATGTAAATTAGGAGTTTATAATGTTTTTGAAAGATATAAGATGATCTATAGAAATGAAAATTTTTAAAGTATCATCACTCCCACAACAAGAATAAAATTACTCAAAAGATTTTCAGATCTCATGAACACAAGTGTTTTTCAAATGTGGGAAATAAAAATTGGAAAGGTAGCAGGGAGAGATATAAGACTCTCATCCCAGTGGGGACTCACTCCTCAGGGGGCCACCGCTGTCCTCTACCTGCTGGGCCACAGGCTCTGTGTGAGCTCAACATACATCTGGGTGTGCCCAGGGCACCCAGAGAGGTGCTGGCAGGGACGCACTGCCCGTTGCCAGAACAGGAAGAGTTCAGTCCAGTGCCGCTCACCTCATACATAAGAACACTGTAGTCCAGAGGAGTGAAGCAACTCTGCCCAGGGCTGGCTGTCACAGGCAGAACCCACAGGGGCTGTGGGCCACTTCACTTCCCTTCTCAGGTGGCTCTGTGACTTCCACACACAGGCCTAGACCTGATTTTAAATTGAGATGAAGAATTCCCACCTCCCTTTCCACCATGACATAAACCCTGGAATCCTAGATCCTTAGGTTTGGAAAGAGCTTTACAGAGGTAGTACTTTCTTATGGCTTTTTTTTTTTTTTTTTGGTACCAGGGATGGAACTCAGGACCTTGCACTTGCAAGGCAGGCGCAGAGCCACTGAGCTAACTCCTGTCCCACTTTCTTATGACTTTTAAGTTATAAAGTTATTAATTCCATGACTAAGAAGTCACTAAAAATTCCTGTCTTCAATATAGTTATTACGAAAGTAGTTTTTCAGTTTTTTAAAAAACTGAATTCTAAAATAACAGTGAAGGATTATTAATCATCATGATTGATAATTGTGTTTGTCTTGTTGAGAAGATGGGCATTGAGCATTAAATTTCTGTGTCATCACTATCTTAGTCCACTCCTAATACTGTAACAAAATACCTGAGGGTGGGTAATTCATAAATAATAGAAATTATTTGTTACAGATCTGGAGATGTAAAGTTCAAGATCAAGGCACCAGTAGCTTTGGTGGCTAGTGAAGTCTTATACTTTTTTTTTTTGGTGTGGTTCTGGGGATCTAACCCAGGGCCTTCTCACTGTGCTCCATCCCAAGTCCTTTTCAAAAATTTTTATTTTTAATGTGACCTGTACTTCTCATCTCCTCTAGTAGCAGTGTCCATTTCTCCACCCTTTGCATTGTGGCTGGCTTTGCTAGCTTTGACAAGTAGAACGTGGTAGAAATGAGGTTGTTTGTTCCTGAGCATAGGCCTCAAGTGGCCTTGAAGCATTTCCTTCACCTCTGGGAGCCTGGCTCCAGAATGCCGGGTCTGGAAGCTGGCCCATCCTGAAGAGAGAATTAAGACACCCCACTCTGGATGCATGAGTGAGGCCACTTAGATTTCCAGCCCAGAAAGTGATCCAGCTGCCTGGAAATAAGCACAGATAAAACCAGCAAAGAAAATGCCCAGGCCCCTTGTGAAGTGTGAGAAATAACAAACAGTAGTTTTAAGCCACTAAATCTGGAAGTGAATTGTTAGAAAATGGTAGATAACTTATGGAGCCTGACATAATCTTTCAATCTGTAATTGTGTAGCGGGACCTCATTTGCTTAAGTGAATCCTCTATGGTTTCTCTGCACTGTTCCTCCTGTGGAAAGATCCTGTAAGGGAACCTGCTCACTTTTTTAAAGACCACCAACATTCCAAGGTAGGAGTGGAGGGAGCATTTCAGATGGGAAGGGCTGTACCTCCTTTATTCTCATCGTCATTACCACCCCTGCAGGAGACAGACCCGCCCCCAGGGGGAAAGGGGATTCTCCACAGAAGCAGAGCCAATCAGGGCTATCTATCTATATCAGGGGTAAGTATCCGTGTGTGTGTGTGTGTGTGTGTGTGTGTGTGTGTGTGTGTGTAGTCATATCATTTAAAGATGGGTATAAATTCTGAGAAATTAATTACTAGGCAGTTTCCTCACTGTAGGAACTTTGCACAGTGTACTTATACAAACAAAGATGGTTTCAACCTCACTAGGTGACATAGCCTTATGGAACCACCTCTGCGCACGCAGCCCATCATTACAGAGAGGTCATTATGGGGCACATGACTACGATAAGAGAAACATTCTGGGATGTTCTAAGTCTAATTACAAAGATGGAAGAATGAAGAGAGGAGAGATGGAGGATGTTAATCAGTTAAGCTACAGGCCAAGAACAAGACTGATTCACATTCTTTTTTTTTTTGGTACCTGGGATCGAACTCAGGACCTTGCACTTTTGAGGCAGATGCAGCACCACTGAGCTAAATCCTTGGCCCCAGGAGAAATATTTCTAACTGCTACCTAGATCTATTACTGGTTGTTGTGGGAATTTGTCCCAGGATGCATGGTCCTTCCATGGATAACATTTATAGTGCCTCAAAATAATCTTTTATTTCAGAGATCCCTTGATCTCCAGAGTTTTGGTGTAACAACTGCATGTGTGTATGTGTGTGGGGGGAGGGAGAAAGAGAGAGAGAGAGGAATCTGCTCATGTGATTATGGAGGCTGAGAACCCTGTGATCTACTATCTGCCAGCTAGAGACTCAGGGAAGCCGATGGTGTAACTCAGTCTGAGTTCAAAGAGTTCCAAGGCTTTAAGACAGGCAAGATGATGATGTAAATCTCAGTAAACTCCAGTCCAAGGGCAGGAGAAAATGAGATGCTTAGCTGCAGCAGTGAGGCAGGAAATAGGGGCAAGTTCCTCCTCCACTTTCTGTTCTATTTAGGCCCTCAGCAAGTTAGGTAATGCCAGCACTGTCCCATCTGGGAACAGCCTCCTCTCTAGGCACTTAGTGTCTGGTCCCAAAGATGGGAGAGTCTTCATTCCAAACAATACTGTGGGGAGATTCCACTCCCTTTAGGTTGTGGCAGATATTTTAAGTGGCCTCACTCAACACCCTTTCTAATTTCCTTCTTGTACCGTGGAGGCTGGACTGTTAGAACTGTTGAGAAGACATACATGCTACTTACATGGCTGTAGATGGCAGTAGCTTTCAGCTCTCCTATTGAAATCTGCACATTAACGTACATATAAAATATTATAATATTACTATAAGAAAGTTTTGCATAAAGTATATAAGAGGACTAAACAACATTTGTCTATAATTGATTGATTATTTTCAACTCTCATTTCTACACATACTAATTTGAAAGTTTTTTTCTGGACCTTTCTTTCCCCTTAACTGTTTCACTTCCATTTAAAGAAAATTTAATTTACATTTGTCACTTTTTTTTGTTTTCCTAGTCATTTATATTTTCTTTGACAGCTGCTTCTGTTTTTTCTTGTGACATCATTCCTGTGGTGAAATGTTCTCAATCACTGAGAATCCTACGTTTTTCTAAATGATTCTTTGAATATCAGAAGTGTACCTCAGATTTTGTGACCTTCAACAAAACAAAATAAAACATAAACCCTGTGTAAAATATTCCCGAGTCTTCAGTAGATAAAGTCTCCTGTGGCCTCCACAACTTCCTGTCATCTTTGTCCAAAGCTAGTGCCTTCCTAGGTGGTATCAACATCTTCACAAGACAGAGAAGATCACCACAGGACCTCTCTTTCCTTATCGATACTGACTTTCTCTTGTCTTTTCTGCTTTGTTTCTGCAGAGCTGCTTGCAGAATCAGGTCTTCACCCTGGATGGATTACTTAGCCACTGGCTCTGTGATCACCTTAAAGAGAAATGGGCCCTGAGTCTGACTCTGGCATGGCATGGCCTTCACAGCTTCCAGTCACACCTTGTTCAGATGGAGCTGCAGAACTACAGGCTGGGGTGGACTTGCACTGCGATTCTGTTTGATTTCTGCTTTGTTAGTGTAGAATCCTTTCAGCAAGGGTTGCTGATTGTGACACATGGAGTTACTGAGAGATGGAAAACTGCAAAGTGTGCACAGCTACTTGACATACTTTCTTGACTGGTCACTCACTCAGGATGCTGTGTGTGACGGTTAAGCTTAATTGTCAACTTGATTGGCTGGCACCACTTAGTAATGCACATTTCTGGGTGTGTCTAGGCAGGTCGTGGAAGTGTGACCATGGACTCTATATTTGGCCTTGGACCCTGCCTCTCTGGAGCTATTCCCTGCTCTGCTCCCTGGCTACCATGAACTAAGCAGCTTTGCCTGACCATTCCCTGTTGCCATGATTTTCTGCCTTGGAGCCAGCTGATCATGGACTGAATCACCCAAAAACATAAGTCAAATAAGCTTCTCCTTTAAATTGTAGGTGTTGGGCAGTTTGTCCCACCAACAGGAAAGCTGACTAATACACTGTGCCCACTTGCTTATAGGCCATGACCATCCCTGGCTTCTCCAGTTCTGTAAGGGTGGACTCAGAAAAGCTTTCTTTTTTAATTTTTAAAAATATTTATTAGAGTTTGCAGTAAATAATAATTACATTTATTGTGGGGAGTTGGCACGTGTCATAACTCATCTTAATCCTTTTTACTTCCCCTTCCTCACCCCTTTTCTTCCCTCCTTTCCTTTTCCCCTTCCTTCATCTCTTGGTCCCCTTCCCATTTGCAAAATATCTATCTCTCTGTTTTCTATTACCATCCTTTATTTTTGCTCTCTCTTTATACTTTGAGTTTCTCATACAAGAAAAACCTTGTGATATTTAAGCTTGTATATCTGATTATTTCACTTAAAATTATTATCTCCAGGTGCATCTATTTTCCTATAAATTACTCAAATTAATCCTTTTTTTGTGGCAGAGTAGGACTCCATTGTGTGTAAATACCACATTTTCTTTATCCATTCATCTGTTAGTAGACATGTAGGCCATTTCCAAGATTTAGCTATTATGAGTTGTGCTGCTATAAATATGGGTATTCATGTATTACTGTGATATGATGTCTTTAACTCTTTCAAGAAGATACCTAAAAGGAGAGAGTTGGGCAGAAACTGATTAAATCTCACATGTAGCCTTTCTGTTTTAGAAAAGGGACCAGAGTAAGATGGAGCTATCTTTTTTTGCTACTGAAAATGTTAAAATTGGATCAAATATGTGTTAAATGAAAGTGTGTGTGAATGTAGTGATGTATATGCCCTGTGCTTCTATATTTAGCAAAGAAGTAAAATGAGGGAAGGGTGGAGATTTCAACTACTAGGGATCAATATGTTCCTTGTTGAAAGAACAGTCAGAGAGGCTCCTGGTTGTCAAAATCATTCCCCAGTTCCTCAGAGTCTCCCTCTTGGTCCCTTCAGTGCCAGAGGCCATGCCAGATTCATCTTTGTTCCATCAGGGCCTAGTTTACACACCATAAAGTAGGAATACCATAAATGTTTGTACAACGGGGAAATGAAAAGACATTCTCAGGAGAGACTGTAGCAGTTGGACTTCCAAAGTCACTTTAACTGCAAGGGCTGGACAACATATACTCTGCCAGATGGGACAGATCAGGGACCTCCAAACAGAGGACTCCTTGTAATTTGCCAGAAGGTGCAGGAATTTCTTCTTCAAAACCTACCACCAAAGACTATGTCTCTTACCCTTGGATTCTAATCCCCTGCTCTAAAACACAGCTTTCCATGCTTGAGTAAAATTCAAAACTATTCTAAAAGAATAAAAAGATACCTCAGGAAGGTAAGTTATAGGCACACAAAATACTGTCTTTATTATATCCAGCTTTAAATGCATTATTACTTGAAACTACATGTATATTTTTAAAATCTATTTTACTTTCCTGGTCATTCTGTTAATTATTTTCCTAGTGAAGCTGAAATGAAATCTTGTGAGGCTTTTTTTCTAGTTATCTCACTTCTCCTTTTCTTTTTCATCTTATTTTGAGCATTGGGTCTTCTAGTAGGAGCCTTCTAAGAGACCTGGTTCGTTGAGCACTGGGGATCCTTCAGCCTTTCCACTCAAAGGAATCCCCTAACCAGTTTCTGGTTTTCTTCTCTCTTCTCTTCTCCTCTCCTCTCCCCTCACCTTCCCCTCCCCCTTCCCCTCCCTTCCATTTTCTTTCTCTCTCTGTTGGCCTCAGGTTCTCAGCTGCTCCTTCATTCCAGTTCTCAGTCTTGGTCAAAGCATTCCACCTCATGCTCCCAAGTCCTCTATCAGCTTCTCCGTTATCTTAGACTACTTGCCTGCATGGACAGTAAATAGCAAAGAACCATCTGTCTACCTGTGAATTGATAATGGGTTTCTGCAGTCTGCCTTTACATTAGATAACTGTTCTTATTCTACAAATAAGTTGGAACTTATATCATCATCCATAATAAATTAAAATTATTTTTTTCCTCTCCCCTTTTTAAGATCATTTTTTTCCTTTTAAAAACCAGAACTTCTGGTTACTACTTCATGGTTTTGTCTGATATCATTGTTAGGTTATGTAGTGTGCCAGTTAGTCTTGTCAACTTGACTTGATTAACCTTGTGTACTTGACTCTTAGAGAAGTGATTGGATCATGGGGTGCTATTCTCATCAGTCCACAGCTGAATGTTGTATTATAAGGTGAGCCCAGTTGGAAAAGGTGAGTCACTGGAGTGTGTGTTTGGAGGATATATCTCTCATGGGCATTTTTCTCCTATTTTCTTTCCAGCTGCTATGAAATGAGAAACTTTGCTCTACCACACCCTTCTGCCATGACGTTCCTGCCTTGGAGCCAGCTGACCATGGACTGAAATCTCTGGAACCATGAGCCAAATTAACCATTTCCTCCTTTAAGTTGTATCAGATATTTTTGTTACAGCAACAAAAAACTAATACAAGTGATTATATATATTAGTATCACAATTATCATATATTCTCGAGTTATATACTTAACACAGCATAAATACTTACAATAGAGTAGAAAAACCACAATAGAGCCTCCTAGATGATATGGCAGGTTGAACACATTTGTCTGATTTTTCTCCCTTCTGAAAACATATGAAAATGATAGTAAAGGTATTTAATACAAAAGGTAAATTCACCAGGGCTAAGTGGATACAACAGAGAGCAAGAATAACACTTCATAAATTAGGAAGCAGATGGCCAGGAGGCATTTTAGCAGACATAGGAAACCAACTTTTGTACCTGTTGTGCGAAAAGGTGAGAACCAGCCTGAGTTCAGGGTCCCCAAAGTCTCTAGAACTTGCAGCACCAGGTACATCTAGAACAAGAAGGGGGGGCACAATAAGGGGTGAGGAACAAAATAAGAAGGCCCAAGAGAGTGCTATTGTGAAAGTGAGTAGACCCCTCTGCCTGCTGTCCTTTGCACCCTGGGAACTGGTTTATCCCCTGAAGAGTAAACTGAGGATGCCTGGCTGGGGCATGCCAGGGATAAAATGCAAATTAAGTGAAAGTTTGTACACTAAATGCTGAGTGGGTCCCAGGCTTGTTCTCTGATTTGATTCTAGATTACAGGACATTAGGCTCTTCTTTCTAGGCAGGAAGGAGAAAGAACAGTAGTCTAGCTGGGAAGTGACCAGCCTTACAGGAACCAGAAGCTCCCCCAACAACCTAGCCAGATCACTATACAACAATGAATTTCAACATGGATAAGCCCAAATTAAACATTTCAGAACTTCGTCAGTTTTCTAGTTCCCCATATTAAATTAAATATTAGTAGGCAGACAAGAACTAGCAGATATGTGAACAATGTTGCTAACCTACAAACTGGAGGCCAAAAATGAACCAATGGGAGAAAATGCAACTTGGAGAAACCAGAAGCAATGAGAGAGAATGAAATGCACAGATGGAAATAAAATAAGACACATTCAAGCACTTCCAAAGAACAAAAAAGTAATTTTTAGAAATTAAAAGTATAATAGCAAAAATATTTTTAGGATTGCAATTAGAAATGCTAAAAAAGAAAGTTGAACAAATCAGAAAATAAATGGAAACTAGGAGATGAAATATAATAAAATTAGGTAACTAATATAGCAGTTTCAATAACAGAAGAGGTTTTTTTGTTCTTCTTTTAAAGAGAACACAGAAAAATGAGGGGAAGAAAACATCA